ACTATACTATAACTGTAATACGGAACACCCCCCCAAAAAATAGTGTAGGTAATTATTCAGGCTTCTACAAGTATTATATGCCGAGGGCTCAGGTGATGTTTCTGAGCACGGGTAAGTTTGCTGGCAGGCGGTGGGGTGGTGGCATGGTGTACGTAGTATTAGGTGTTGTCTCGGCTTGAAGGGTGAAGAATCATCCCTACAACCTTCCAATCATTTGTCCCTACCAGCCCTCAATCTTGTTCCCAACCCTATACCCCGAACCTCAACCCTGCAATTTCTAACCCTAACCCCCTTAACCCTAAACCCTAAACCCGAAACCCTAAACTCTAAATCCTAAACCCTAAACCCTAAACCCTAAACCCTAAACCCGCACCCCGAAACACTGAAACATTCACGGCACTCTCGCGCTCAAAGTTTTTTTCCCGGCCTGCGCAGTCCGGCTCGCGGAACAAGTGCAACGGACCGGAGAAACCCAAGCTGCTAAACCCTAAACCCCTAAACCCTAAACCCTAAACCCCCAAAGCCCTAAATTAGCATTAACCCTAAACCCTAAACCCCAAACCATAAACCATTTCAGGGTTTGGGAGGGTTCAACCCTATAAACCCTCAGGGCTCTAGGGTTGTCGGGCACGCAGGTTTAGTCGAACTTTGCGGCTTTTGGGGCTCTTCGGGGATTCCGAGTCTTCAGGTACTTTAGGATTTAGGATCACAGGGTTGTAATGTCGGGTCCTCCCCGTTTTCCGGTACTCCTTAAGGCGTATTCAGAAGGGCACAAGTCCAGAGGGTCCACATATACTACCATTATGGAATTAGGTCCCAAAAGACCATCCTCATTATGGTTTTGGGGACCTAATTCCATAATGGCAGTATATATGGACCCTCTGGGAAGGAGATGCGCTTCGCCATTTGGGTCCCTTCATTCCACCACGTGGAGCGCGGCATGACCAGAGCTCTCACGTCCCGACGGTCGCTGAGTTGGTGTGGCCTCGGGCGAGAAGACGGAGGACAGTTCCGACACCCGAAACCAAATACTCGAGGAGGCTAACTACTTTATTGGAAGGCTTTTTAAAACAAGTCTATTGTACACTTGAAGGGTCTTGGTATGAAAAGCCTATACGACACATATCCATAAAACAAACCCTTGTGTAACCCTAGTGCAAGACTCAAACGCAAGTTTGACCGAATCCGTGCACACCTTCGAGCCTTCTTCTCCATAATCAAGGTGTTTCAAAGGGGTGCCCTAAACCCCAAACCCTAGACCCTAAGGGTGTCTTAGGATTTAGGCTCCGTGGTTTGAAGCGGCTGTAAGGGGCTCTGAAAGTTCTTAGGAAGTCCATGGAAGTTGCTCTCAAACGCCAACCCGAAGCACTGCGGCCACCCTGACCCAGTATGAAGAGGAAGGGAAGGACGTACATGACAAGCAATGCACCCTATAACCTGAACCCCCAAACCCCGGAATGCGGAACGCAAAAGCCTAAATCCTAAACCCTCCCTCGTAAACCCGAAACTTAACGCTGGAACCTAAACCCGGGATCCTAAACTCTAAACCCTGGACCCTAAACCCTAAGCCCCTAAAGCCCTTCTAGAAGCCCTTGAAGGATACCCTTATAGCATCGTGTAGAAGCCATTTGAGGAAACCCTTATAGTACCGTTACCCAGCCAGAGCACCATTCTCAGTACGAAGATTGGAGAAGTCACGCAGGGCGAAGCTGTGGGCAGCTCGCTAGCGACACCGATCTCCTGGGCCAATCTGCGGTTTAGGGTATTGGGTTTGGGTTTAGGGCTCAGCGTTTAGGAATTAGGGTTTAGGAATTTGGGTTTGGGGCTTAGGGTTTAGGGCTTAGGGTTTAGTTGAGGATTCCGGGATCAGGGCTTAGTGAAGTTTGGAGTTCAGGCTTCAGTGCTTTAGGGCGTGGGATTCGAACATGTTGTAGGATTCAGGGTTTAGGGTTTGGGACTGAGGTTTGAAAGTTCAGAGTACCACGGTTTAGGGTTTAGGGTTTAGGGTTTAGGGACCCTAAACCCTAAACCCTAAACCCTAAACCCTATACCCCGTGGGGTGCGGCACGATCACAGCACCAAAACACACAGGAGCCACAGTCTTAATCAAGGTGGCTACGCGGAGGAACTTTGGTACAAGAACGTCTTACCATCGTTGCTGCCATCGCAACCACCCTTCGGTCTCATTTCCTTCACAATCACCACCATCAGACTTGGTACACGAATCGCACCATCACCACAATGATTGGTATCATCATCAGACTTTCGTCCTCGTGCTCGTGAGGAAGGTGCCACCAACAGTATAATGATCATCGGCATCATCTGCCATCGCTCTCTCTTCTGTGTAGCAAGACCCTAAACCCTAAACCCTAAACCCTAAACCCTAAACCCTAAACCCTAAACCAAAACCTTACCACGTTTATCCTGAGCATCATCCACGGCATCCCTCCACCTTCAACCTGCTCTTGGCATTCGGACACTGCGCTGGCGAAAAATGGCTCCTGAATGCTACGACAAGAAAGGGCATAAGATAGTGAGAGACAGGGAGGTCATTGGAGGTACTAAGGCAGACAAACATAGAGAGAGAGAGAGAGAGAAAGACAGAGAGGGAGATTCCATGAGGAGCAAAACCTGAAGGAATGTAAACACATGAGGGGAGAGACAGAGGACACAAACAGATGTTGCCAGGATGCTGTATGTGGCTGTGCTTAAGACAATAAACATGACCGAACATGCAAGCGCAGGCACCTCTCTCTCACACCACAGTACTAATGCGGCATGCGCTTGATTGTTCTGTTTCCACCACATCATGCAAGTTTCAGCCTGCGCAAGTTCTGAGACTCGGCTTGCTTCTGCGCGTACACTCCAGTCCAATCCTGCAGCTGTGGAAGCCGCGACGGAGCATAACGTCGGCGGATTCCTATGGATGCCTCTACCTCCCATTTGTGGAAAACATAATGTCTAGCCTACAGGGAATCTCTTTCTAATTCAGCACAGCCGTCTCGTGCCTGCTGTGGCCGAGAGACCCACTGGAGCGATGTCCGGCTTGGAAAAGACCCGCAGCATGTGGTCGGCCCAGAGAAGGGGCTGTAAATGAGCGAGACGGACCTGCGCGTTGGGTGTGTGGGCTGTGGACTTCAGGGTTCAACTCACGGTTTTTGTTTGCGGTATTTCGTCTTCAATCCGACGCGGTGGGTTCATGCAGCTAAGGGTAGGATAAACGGGCCAAGACCGGCATAGGCCATACCTAGACCTAGGCACAGTGAAGCCGGATACCTGCCACGGAGCTTCATACCACTGGGCCACCGGTGGCTACTGTTTAGGGTTCAGGGTTCAGGGCTTAAGGTTTGGGATTTGGGGTTTAGGGGTTTAGGGTTTGGGGTTTAGGGTTTAGGGTTCAGGGTTTGGGGCTTAGGGCATAATGAGTAAATCCGAACGAGACATTTGGTGAGCACGGTGGATGGCCCAATCGAAAATAGACACTGTTCATACTACTGGCAACAGCTACTGCTGACATATAGAAAGAGGACTGCCCTGACATCGCAAGACCTGAACAAAACTTAGTCCCCCGAGCCCTTGACCTTGCTAATGTAGGAACCTGATTAAGAAACACATGGCCTTCATATGGGGTTCTTAATATGGATCCCAATATATTGGGGTTATAGGGCCAGGGTTTCTTAACCAGGTTCCTACATACCTAAACCCTAAACCCTAAACCCCCAAACCCCCGAACCCCCAAACCCCCAAACCCCCAAACCCCCAAACAAACCCTAAACCCTAAACCCTAAACCCTAAACCCTAAACCCTAAACCCTAAACCCTTGACCTTGCTAGCCCTTGGGTTTCAGAGTCACGGCCTGGTCGGCCCACGCCGGCTCGAGCTGCATCCGCAGACTACGGATCTTCGCAGGGGTGTCCTGCTTTTGGAAACTTAACCCCCTAAATCCCAAAAACCCTAAGCCCTAAAACCCTAAAAACCCTAAAACCCACAACCCTAAAGCCCAAACCCAAAAACCCTAAGCCCTAAACCCAAAACCCTAAAGCCCAAAACCTTAAAACCCAAAACCCTAAACCCTTAACCCTAGAACCCAAAACCTTAAAACCCAAAGCCCTAAACCCAAAACCCAAAAACCCTAAGGCCTAAACCCTAAGCCCTAAAACCGAAAACCTGAAAACCCAAAACCCTGGGAGTGCTGAATTTTGGAACACCGTGCTATGGCGCATATCAGGGCCCAGAGGTTGAACCCTCCAAGCCCAAATAGAGTTTAGGGTTTGGGGTTTAGGGTTTAGGGTTTAGGGTTTAGGGTTTAGGGTTTAGGCAAAGCCCTCAATCGGCTAAGGCTGCGGCTCTAAACCCTAAACCCTCTAGCTTCAGGAGCTGTAGGGTTTGAGAGAATCTAAGCAAAGTCTTCCAGACTCTGGTCTAGGCTTCGGGGTTTAGGGCTCGGGTTTTGGGGTAGGATATCCTACTCCGACGCTTTTGGCCTATGTGCCAAGTGCTCTGCAAGTGGACCTTAAACCGTTCAAGTCAACGGACAAGTCTCATTTCGACTTTCAATTCCGTACTGGGCTTGGCTCTGCGGTAGCGCGCCTAATGAAAGGTGTCTTGGTAACCCGAAACCCTACACCCCCACCCCCCCCACCCCCCAAAAGACAACCTGCAAGCAGCCGGAGCCCAAGTCCTTCAACTTCTACGAGACCCCTCGACCCTATCTCTTAACCCCAAATGTGCAAAGCCTACAAGGGTTAGTTTGCTCCATAGGCCCCCAATACACTCTTTCCACATTGTCCCAGCGGTTTAGAAGCCCTCTATGAACTCACCGAAAGCCCAACAGACGCCTTGCAGGAATATGGGGGGTTACTTTTTTCACCCGGCACCCCTAGAAAGTTTCCCCCCGAGTGTCCTTCGTCGGATGCTTCCATCGCTCGGCTTTGTCCGAGGTATCCCGGGGCCCCCTCGGCCGGCGACGCGGCGACGCACTGAGTCCACGGATGGAGAAGTCAGTCCTGCGAGCTTGGTACCCTAAACCTAAAGCCCTAACACCCTAAAACCCTAAAGCCCTAAACTCTAAAAAAACCTGAAAACCCTAAACCCTGAAACCCTAAACCATAAAAACCCTAAACCGTCTTAAAAGGTGTGTAAGGGGTTGAGGCTTGAGTGCTGCAGGGTTATGCAGGGTTCCAGAGGGTCGTTTAAAGGCTCTCGCTCTGGAAATCCTCGGCGAAAAGGCCTCGCAACAGGACGGTTCAGGGTTTAGGGTTTAGGGTTTAGGGATTAGGAAGACAACAGCAACATCCGGCGGAAACGCTAGGCTGCTGTGCCAAGTAAAAGCATGAAACCAACATCGCGGTGGCTGTGGATCACACGATGGCAACGACAGCAACAGCAAAAGCAGCAGCAGCAGAATTCACAGCAGTAGGACCACCACCAACAGATAAGAACCGCTGTAACAACAAAGCTAGAATCCAAAACGCTCTACCCTAAACCCTAAACGCCCTAAACCCCAAACCGTGTACACCAATGTACTCTTTTTCAGGTCTCTGGCCTTTTCACGGCGATACTGCGCATGAAGTTCCTCCACATGCTCTGCCCAGCCTCAGTGTAGCTCAGTGTAGCTTTCTGATTGCAAAAATGCTGACGGTGCAAGGCGAGCAGTGCGGGGCTCCGTGGGTGGATGATTTTGACCTCAAGCGTTGTGCTGGCCATGAACCATAAGTTTGCAGCAATCTGAACATCAACCCCGCCAAATCGTAAATCCCCCCCAGAAATCCCATCAGGAAGAGTAGTAATTAGTACGGATGTATACCGACCTCGTCATTTTGTGATGCTTCCCCTACCCATCCCTAGAGTGAGAGCGGTCTCGCGACCTCCGCAAGATTCCGACTGAGACTGCGGGGCCACAAGTAACTCAGGTTCCACGTTTGGGGCTCCGGGTTAAAGGTCTTTGGAGTCCTCAGAATCCGGATACTCTTGTTTGGGCTCTATATCAAAGCTTCGCAACGTTGAAGGTTTAGGGTTCAGAGTGCACAGGCTTATGATGTTGATTGATCTTGGGTTTAGCGGATTTGGGGATCATTTTCTGAAACAGCCCTAAACCCTAAACCCTGAACCCTAACCCCTAAACCCTAAACTCCCAGGTTGACAGAAGAAGTTCCTGCGATGTCACAGAGGCTGACTGCACGAAGCCGAGCTGCTTCCATTGATGCCGGCGATTTGCTCGGTGACGGCACGTAGCTGCCTCGGTCAGGATCGTGCGACTTGGAATATCGTACAAGTATTGTGTGGTGCTATCATGACGATGATGATGATGATGATGATGATGATGAGAAGAACAAGGAGGAGGAGGAGGACAACGAAGAACACGAGGGGGGCATTGGTATGTTTGGTGATACTGCCTTGCCGATGAAAAGTGCCGCCGCTGATTCTCGCTGCATCGCTGCTACCACTATCAATATTCCGACTATGACTACTAATGCGACGACGACAACCACCACGCTACAAAGGCCGAAACTCTGAACCCTTCATGAACCTCCATCCTGCCATCAACATATGCAATGCGCCAAGATGCTTTTCGCGTTCGGCGAGCTGCTTGCGGAGGCCTTCCCCATCCTCGCCTCAGCACCATTGGGGGCTCAAAGCTAACATTAGGATTTATAGCTCATCCAAGACCCTGGCAGCAGACCCGAACATGCTCAACTCAAAGTCCAAGGCACTCAACCCCAAAACTTCAATGCAACCTAAACTCTGAATCGATTGGAATCAGGGCTTAATAAACAGGCTGTGCATGAGTTTTCATATGGGAACCCGCTCTGCTTACCATTTTAACAAAACCAACATTCTCCCAATAGCTAGTAAGCCACAAGAACCGATGCAAAGTTAGCCTGACGATTCCGCGAGAATGTGTGTTTGTACATATGTATGTATATATGTATATGTACCTATATACAGAGGCATATGCAAATGTACGTGTAAGATTGGATCGACGACTCGAAGCTTAGCGTGCAGGGTGCAGGTAGTTGGTATCCAGAACTTTTCGGCCCAGAATCCCAAGTCTAAGCTGGCATTCCACCACAACAAGCCCTAAACCGTAAATGCTCAATCTAAATCCCAAATGCTGAAAGCCTAGCAACCCCAAATTCCCAAAGCCTAGACCCAAATAAATCCTACAACTCTAAATCCTAGAACCCGGAGTCCTCCAAACCGTGCAGCTAAGCGACGCAAAGCCTTCAGGTCCTTGTCCTTCTCCTTGAGAACCTGCTCCTCACTTCATTTTTAGGGTTTATTTTAGGGTTTAGGGTTTAGGGTTTAGGGTCAGGGGGGCCGAGGGAAGGACGCCCCTAAAGCCTGAATTCTAAAGCCGTAAAGCTTAAGACCCTAAGCCATAAATCCTACACCCCTACTCAGGGGATCTGCGTGGCTCATTTCTGGTGGTTTCAGAGCTTCAGGTTCAGTCGTGCATGCCATGATCTTCAAAGTGAAATCTTGGAACCCCACCCCGAAGCCAGTAAACCCCACCACTAAAGTGCCTACAGCCCCGGCCGATATCCGTGCGATTACTTTAAAATTAGGCTTAGGGAGTGAGGCTTCAAGCTTTAGTGTTCCGGGTTTTCGTCTTCGTGCCCGAGCTATACTCTCCGCGGGTGTAGGGCGCAGGGCTCCTTTTGTTACTTCGTGGTTAGGAACCAAGACTGGGTGAGACCGGTAGCCAACACAGCAACCGCGGGAGAGGATAGTAGGTACCAGTGTGGCCATAAAAGAATCATCAAACAGGATGAACTGTGCTCCTTTGCTCAGTTTCCAGGACGGAACGCAACTGGTGGCTTCTGGAGACTTGGAGCTAACCTCAAACCACCTGCGTGCCTACCTAGCTAGCAGTTGAGTGAGGGTTTGGGTAATCATTTTCTGGGCCGTGCTTGGTATAGTCGTGTTCCCTCTTAAGAACATGCTATACTGGACTTGTTTTCCAGAAGGGCCTGATTCGCTTGTGGGTTCAAGGCCGAAATGTCTGCGTTGATGGATCAGCCCACTTCGTGCCAAGGCGCTTGGGATTCGCTCAGCTGTTGTCGTTGCTCTTTGGCGGCTTGCGCGGCCTGCATGTTGCGGGGGGAGGAGGAGGAGGGGCTATGGTCCCTTCTGGAAACCCCACAGGCCCTACATTCAGAACTACGATGAGTGTAAGTGCGGATCCCTTCAACGAAGACACTTCTGACGGACGGCAAGTGTGCATCATTCGGGCATTAAGTTGATGCTGGGTCAGTCTACATGATAACACAACCCGAACCGAGGCACACAACCTCACTCCAAAAGTGTGCTTCAAAGTCTCAACCCCAAGCCCTACAAACCCCAAGCTCTTGAGCCTCAGTTCTACAGCCGATACCCCAGAACCTCAGAACTCACAACTCTCGAACCTAATCATCCAAACCCCACAAGTCCTCAAGCTAACACCCTGAAACCCATACGCTCAGAACCAATTGCACCGTCTCAAGCGCTTACATGCCAACTCGACCTAAGCCGGACCTATGCCCTAAGCCCTAAAGCTTGAACCCTAAACCTAAACTCTAAACCCTGAGCCCTACACCCCAAACCCGAAATCCACAACTGAATCCAACAAACCCCAAACCCCTGAACCCTAAACCCTGCACCCTGCACTCAAACCCTAAACCTAAGACTCCCTAGCCCCAAAACTTAATTCCAGATTGGAAGGGCTGTATCCCGGCCTCCGCTTTCTCTTTGTCGTGCTGTGTGCGTATCTCCTCGCCCGACACACCAAAACCAGCCCTAAACCCTAAACCCATGAGGGGGGGGCCTTTAAGCTAGGATACGATACGGGTTGTTTTAAGGGATCTATAAGGGTTCAACTTGTAGGGTTCAAACTTCTCGGGTTTAGGGTCTTCGGGGCTTCTGGGCTTCAGGCGTGGGAGTTTGGGGTTTAGCGGTTTAGGGTTTAGGGTTTAGGGTCCAGGGTTTAGGGTTTAGGGTTTAGGGTTTAGGCTTCGGGAGCTTCCCAGTCTGCTCTGAGTGTTGAGGTCTTCAGGTAAAGGGGTTTGGGGCTCTACCTTAAGAACCCAAAGCCTACTTTGTTGTAGGGTGCCTATAAATCCCATATTAGGGTTGATAATAAGAACCTGCAAAAAAGTGGGTTTTGGGTTCTTAAGGTAGGAGATCAGGTAAAGGAGTTCAGGGCTCTAGATGAAGAGAAGGACTTTTGGATCCATGCAGTTTAGGGTTCAGGGCTTAGGGTCATATCCAAAACACTGGATACAAACATTGGGCACGGGATGCGGGATTAGGGATCGGATGCTCCTTCGGCGCGTAGGGTAAAGACCGAGTATAAAGATTTTAGAGAACGGGGACGAGGTCTAGGAGTGGGCTTGCGGTTTTGGGGCGTTTAAGACTTCAGGACCACGTAGAGCTTTGGATAGACAAGAGGTTTGGAAAGCCCCTGAACACTCTTCACAGCAGATCCTTGTCCTAGAAGAACCGTAATCAATCTCTTACATGCCAGGCGACGGTGAGCTTCTTCTCTGCAGCATCCTTCGCCAGGGTAGGTGCTGAGCACTTTTGGATCTTATCGGGTTCATGCCCCATTGGGATTGGAGGCTTCCGGCGTTGGGTTTGGGGAACTCTTCTATGGGCCTGTTTCATTTGAGAGAGCCTCGTTTCATAGCAGGCTTCTAGATCATAGAGGGCGCCGTAGCGCGGCTTCCCTGCTCCCAGTCACCATCACGAAGATCCTCTCCCGAAAATCATCATTCGAACAAGTAACCCTAAACCCTCAACCCTAAACCCACCCTCAACCCTCAACCCTAAACACACCTTCCCAACCCTAAACCCTAAACCCTAAACCCACAACCCCAAACCCCAAACCCCAAACCCTAAACCCTAAACCCTAAACGCACACTAAACCCCAAACCCCAAACCCTAAACCCTAAATCCTAAACCCTAAACCCTAAACCCTATAAACCCTAAATCCTA